GAGAGAGACACAGCAAGAGAGGGAACACGAGCAGGGGGAGTGGGAGAGGGAGAAGCAGGCTTCCCGCGGAGCAGGGAGCCCGATGCGGGGCTCGATTCCAGGACCCTGGGATCATGACCTGAGCCGAAGGCAGACGCTTAACCGACTGAGCCACCCAGGCGCCCCGGATGTAATAATTCTTAAGGAATTAATGCTCCATCCACAATCCAGCATCTTCATCTTAAGGAATCTTAACTTTTGGTCAGTTAAGAATGTAATGAGAGTGTACTGTACATGTGACTTTATTTCAAACACCACAGAGCACATACCTCTTAGACTTCTTTCTTGGGAGTGACTTGTTCTACAATAATACAAGTTTAATACTGTGGTCCATGAGCTCTAATAAAATAGAAGAGAAAACAATGGGGTAGAAGAGCTCATTCCAGACTCTGGAATGAGTACCCTGATTAAATGGAGAGACATGGGAGATGAAGATGGGGAAGGAATAGAGAATCCAGAATAGGAAGAAAGTGGAAGAAAGCTCTCAGAAGATGGGCCCTCTAGCTGTGATTACTAGGTAGATAGTGGTGGGTTCAGCCAGCATCAAGTTAGGAAGTCTAGCTCTCTACAACCGGATGAGCTTTCCATGAGAGCCCTTTTCCTGGCCCCCATCACAAATGAGTGTCTCCTGGCCTATCATAACAATACTATTTATTAGTGATCATTCACTGAGCTTTTACATGCCAGGTGATTTACATATATCATCTCTACTTCCACTATAACTTTTTGAAAGATTTATTTATTTATTTTAGAGTGAGAGAGTGCGGGGGGTGGGGGCAGAGGGAGAGAGAGAATCTCAAGCAGAGTCCCTGCAGAGCGTAGAACCCAATATGGGGCTCAATGACTCTGAGATCACAACCTGAGCAGAAATCAAGAGTCAGATGCTTAGCCGACTGAGCCAGGCAGGTACCCCACCACTATGATCTGTAAAAGGCATAATCATTTTTATTTTACACATGAGAAAACTGAAGCATAGCAAGAGTAAGTAGTTTGCCTACAATTACACAGCTGAGATAAGACACAAACTCAGGTCTGCCCAATTCTGCCCAGTTCTTAATTCTTTCCATTACAACTGCCTCCCAAAGAAAATAAGCTGGGCCACACCCTCTTCCTAAAGTCCCGGCATTTACCCTGCTGCACGGCAGCTGCTTCCTACCTTTCCTGTATAGGCCCCCACTCTAGCCTTCACTTACATAATTTGTATTTACCCACTTCTCTATGCTCTGAACCTATTGTCACTTTCATATTACCGCCCCAGTAATATGAATGTTATTAAACACTCTTCAATCCACCGCCTGTCACAGCTCCTGGCCCTCATCTCCCTGCCCCATTCATAGTCCCCAAGGCCCCTTTTCCCTATTCTGTAGTTCACATTCCTGGATGCTTCCTGGGAACTAACAACCTCCCACAACTTCCCAGTGTATTCCCCAATCACATATTTGCACAATGTGGAACCACTGATTCCTATTAGCATGTTTTTGAATCATCCACCAAGGTGGTCAATGGAAATGGGAATTTAAGGAACTCTATCTGCTCAGCAATAGGGTAACTCTGGGCAGGAAAATGTTCTACACTCCAGGAGAAAGGTTTCCCCTGTTTTCGGTCATCAGCATCTCTCTGCCAGTCATTGAATGCCTTCCCTCTTTTTTTGGCCTTCTGAAGGAGGACTGAGAAGACGGTGGTACTCAGTTGCTAATCTCTAACAATCTGACCTTGACCTGAGGTCCCACGAGGAGCATCGGTAGGACGGATAACCTTTTTCCTGTCTGAGTCCTCTCTGGAGCAGGACTGAAGGGAGGAGAGGAAGAGGGTACATTTGGGACCTGCTTATGCTCAGGTCCCTTCCTGTTAGGAATCTAGGTCTGTATAAGGAGACTGACTATAACAAGTCAGGTGCCCTCAGCATTACAACGACCACCTCCCCATGCTCCCCCAATAGACTTTGGAGCCTCTTGATCAACATTCTTTCTTATTCCATCCTTACCGAGAGCCTAGTGGCTCCCATGGCACCAGAAGATATGGTATGTGTGTCTATGGGTATGAATGTTTGTGTATGGAGGAAAAAGAATGGGATGGATGCTTCCCAGCCCCTCCTCTTGAAAGCTGCTTGAATCCCTGCATTTTCTCCATCATAAACTTATGATAGCTTCAGGGGTGTCTCCTCCCATTAAGTCTTTGTTCCTAGATCTGAACCCCTCCACCCTGGCCCACACTATAGCAGCCTCATTAGAAATGCCCAGAAAGGAAGGAGGGGATCTTCTGCTTCTTGACAAGACAGCATTAGCCCAAGCCTCTGCACCACAGCCCAAATATATGCAAGGACGAGCCTGGCTAATGTTTGCTCTCATGCTTGCACACACTCACTCTCTCTCTCTCTCTCTCTCTCTCTCTCTCTCGGAAAGACAAAGCCAACCCTCAGAAGCCAGGGCCCAAATGTGCTGCTCGGTTATCCTAGCGGCTCTGCCCTGCCCCTCCCCCAGCTCCGCTGAGCCATACCTCTGTTAGGAGCCTTGAGCTGTACCCGGAGGCTTCTGTTCCTTTTGCACTCCAACCAAGCTCTACCTTGACAGTTCCAGCCGAGGCACTGTTCCACGGGACCACACAGGGGGAACGGAACCGATTTCCTAAGATCTGATTTCTGCTAATACAATGGCATCGTTGCGAATGCAGGGAGGCTGCGCAATCGCAGCGCCTATGCTCGCCGCCGCCCGCCGCCGGTGGCCGTGCTGGGGCTGCGGTGACGTTGCTGCTCCGGGAAGGGGGAAGGGAGAGGAGCAGGCATGCCCACGGTACAGCCGCCCAGCCTCCCTCCCTGCCAGGCCCTGGGGGCCCCTTAGCCTAGGGAAGGGGGAGGGGAGAGAAAGGAGTCCGTGCCGGAGGCTGAGAACTCTCAAGGCGGCAAAGAAAACGGGGGAGAGAGCTGGACCTAGCTTCTCCCTGGTCCTTGGGAGTCTCAGGGAAAAAGTCTGGGCAGAGGCTTGGAGCTTCCTTCCTTCCCTTTAGGCCCCTCCTTTTAGGTCTTAGCCAGAAACCTCTTCCTCCTCTCTTCAACCCACTCTGAATGACTCCTTGTTTTCCAGCTTTTTCCTTTCACTAAGATTCCAGACTAGCCTCAGGGTGGAGCAGCCAGCCTGGGAGGGGGTTCCTGAAACCTTGAAGGGAGGCTGCAAGGACCAGTCATCGTTCTACCAGCAGGCCGAGTCCTTGTGGATCCCAGCGCGACTCAGCACGAGGCTTTGAGGGTGTGCCTCTTGGGAGAAAAGGAAGACTGGGCCATAGCCAGGCTTCTCTACACAGGGTGGTAGTGAGCCTTAGGACCAGGCTGCCTACAGGCCCGTTCCGAACACAGGGTCCGATTCATTCCCTGGATTTTCAGGGGGCCTGTTAGTGTGGCCGGAATAGAACCTTCTCCTTTCACCTACATTAGCTTTTGGACAAGTGCTGAGCGGGTCCGGCTGGGCCTGTAACGAGGCAGAATCCATTTGGCCAGGCTGAGGGGCCAGGAAGCTCATTTTCCTAGGGAAAGGGAGCGGTCTCCCCTCAGCCAGAGAAAAATCTCAGTTCTACCCGTAGCCCTACAGAGCCCTTCACCTCCTCCAAGCTCCCCCTTCCTCAGGCTCTGGGCCAGTTCTGTGGGGATCAGTGAACAGTGGAGAAGCCACAGCCAGAGCCAGCCGGAGAGCCAGCAGCAACACTGTCCGCTTCATGCCACTGCTCCCTGCGGCCGCCCTGGAACGCAGAGACAGTCGCAAGCTGCGGTTGGCCCCCCGAGTACTAGCCCGGTCTAGGTCTCCTCCCAGTGTTGACCAGTATCTGTATTCCACAGCCAAGCCCTTGGATTTCAGGTCCCTAGAAAGAAGCCAGGGAGGCGCCTGGGTGGCTCAGTTGGTTGGGCGACTGCCTTCGGCTCAGGTCATGATCCTGGAGTCCTGGGATCGAGTCCCGCGTCGGGCTCCCTGCTCAGCGGGGGGTCTGCTTCTCCGTCTGACCCTCTTCCCTCTCGTGCTCTCTGTCTCTCATTCTCTCTCTCAAATAAATAAATAGAATCTTAAAAAAAAAAAGAAAGAAGCCAGGGGTCCGCTGGCCAGGACCACAGCAGCCACCACTCAGGATCCAGAAGAGATGTAGTTTCTTTCCCTTATTGCTTCTTCTATTCCCTGTGAGGCCCATGAGGCCATCGATGATACACTGGGATGTACAGAGCTGGAGAGAGAACAGAAGCGGGTGAAAACCCCCAAACCTACCTCTAACCTTGATCTGTTTGAGGGCCCATGGCACCTTGAGCCTATAAAGCAGGAAACAGCGAGGAAGAGAAGGAGAGAGGGAGTTTGCTTCCTAAATCGGACCATTAGTGATCCTCACAGGGAGGTTGAAAGCAGCAGATATGGTGTCACTGTACAAGCGTACCTCCTTTTACTGAATTTCGTTTGACATGAATGCTGTTTTCAAGCCTGCTAACAAAACATCCACCCTGCAGCCCATGGATTGAGTACTCATTTCAACTTTCAAGTCTTATTAAGAAATATATTTCGTCAGGCTACAACTGCCGTGGATGGTGATTCCTTTGACGGATCTGGGCAAAGTTAATTGAAAATCTTCTGGAAATCACCATTCCCAATGCCATTAAGAACATTCGTAATTTATGGGAAGAGGTCAAATATCAACATTAACAGGAGTCTGGAAGAAGCTGATTCCAACCCTAATGGATGACTTTGAAGGGTTCAAGACTTCAGTGAAGGAATTAAGTGCAGATGTGATGGAAACAGCAAGGGAACTAGAATTAGAAGTGGAGCCTAAAGATGCGTCTGAATTGTTATAATCTCCAGATAAAACTTTAATGGATGAGCAAAGAAAATGGTTTCTTGAGATGGAATCTACTCCTGGTGAAGATGCTGTGGAGACTGCTGAAATGACAACAAAGAATTTAGAAATTACATAAACTTAGTTAATAAAGCAGTTGCAAAGTTTGAGGGAATTGACTCCAATTTCAAAAGAAGTTCTACTGTGGGTAAAATGCTGTCAGACAGCATCAAATGCTACTGAGAAATTGATTGTGAAAGGAAGAGTCAATTGATGCGGTAAACTTCACTGTTGTCTTATTATTTATTTATTTATTTTTAAAAGATTTTATTTATTTGAGAGAGAGAGTGAGAAACAGCATGAGAGGGGAGTGTCAGAGGGAGAAGCAGGCCCCCCGCTGAGCCGGGAGCCCAAAGTGGGACTCGATCCCAGGACTCCGGGATCACGACCCGAGCCGAAGACAGTCGCGCAACCAACTGAGCCACCCAGGTGACCCTGTTTTTGTTTTTTTTTTTAAAGATTTTATTTATTTGAGAGAGAGAGAGAGCACATGCATGATTACAAGTGGGGGAGGGAGCAGAGGGACAAGCAGGTTGCCTGCCTGCCAACCGGGGAGCATGATGCAAGGTTTGATCCCAGGACCCTGAGATCACGACCTGAGCTGAAGTCAGATGCTTAACCAACTGAGCCACCCAGATGCCCCTTTTGTTGTCTTATTTTAAGAACTTGCCACAGCCACCCCAACCTTCAGCAACCACCACCCTGATCAGTCAGCAGCCATCAACACCTAGGGCAATACACTCTACCAGCAAAAAGATTACAACTCACTGAAAGCTCAGATGATGGCTAGCATTTTTAGCAATAAAGTATTTTTTAATTAAGGTATGTACATTTTTTTTGAAGGTATGTACATTTTTAAAGACATAATGCTATTGCACACTTAACAGACTATAGTATAGTATAAACATAACTTTTATATGTCCTGGGAAACAAAAATATTCATTTGACTTGCTTTTTTGCAATATTCATTCTATTGCGGTGATCTGGAACAGAACCTGCAATATCTCTGAGGTATAGCTGTACTTCCCTCTCCCCTAATAGAGACCTCGAAGTAGGTTGGATAAGCAGCTTTAGGTTAGGACAAAGTCATTCTCCATGACCAAATGCTTGGAGTTCTAGCTTCTTACTGTAAGATTTCTAGGCCCAGGGTCTTGTTCCTGAAATTTCTGTGAGGCTAAGCCATGCATCACACTGGAGAGCCACCACTTAGGAAATGTTTCTAGTTGCCTGTAGAAGGTGGCAGCTTTCAAATTTTTAGTGCTTGGCTTACTTCACCACATCATCACCTACTTTCTACCCACTACTGCCGAAGATCTATAGTGCTTTTGATGAAAGGTCAAATTATTTTCTGGCTAGCAACAAAATACAAATATTGTCATATTATAAACCTCAACTGGCTCCTAATTAGTATTCTCACCTGCAATTTACCTTCCACTACTGCCAGATTCATCTCCTTAAAGTACCATCTTTCTTCAGAATGTCACTCCTCTTGCCCCTTTTAATGGTTTCCCATTAACCAGAGAATCAAGTTCAAACTCATTTTGGCTTTCAAGGTCCTCCATCTTGGCTATCTATCTACTCTCTCTCTACACAACCTTACTTCCCACACCCTATCATGTAGTCCTTCAAACCTGTTTCATAATCTCATTTCCACTCTGCTGCCCTTGTTCACATTCTCCTACCTGTTACACTTGGCTCTACTCAGAATTATCCAAAATCTACAAGGCTCAGATCAACTCCTCCATCAAGTCTTCACTGGTCACCCCTGAGCCAGAAAAGATCTCTCTGTCTTCTGAACCTGTGGCTGCAGGTTGTTGGTTTTACAGCCAAGAAAAGAATCCCACAAAACCCGGTAGATTAATATGGGATTGCTAATTTCTTACATTGACAAATAGCATCATTAAAAAAAAAAATAATAAAACTTTACATCAACTATAATCATTGCATAAGAGAAAGCATATCATCGTTATTTTTCTCATTTCATTGTATACTGATGCAAACTTCATCAAAAAGAAGCATCAGTCCATAATTTTGATTAAGTAAATCATTTGCCCTTTGATATGTTTAATGTTCTTTTTTCATATCTACCTTAATGTTTCTTTTAACTGCCAAGTCCAAGTTAAATTCATCTTTGCCCAATACCCAGTGTGTAAGACAGAATCATTTTTATTTTGTGTTTCCCACAAAACCTAGCACAGTGGTTGGCAGATACAGGGTGGTCAGCCAAAGTCCTGTTGAACAAGAGTAGTATAAAAAGAAATGTGCCTTGAGTGTAAATGAGAGTGAGTGGTAGACAGATCTGACTCAAAAGGCTTAGAAGAGAAGACCCTTGCTGTTCACCTTGGTGGGGGGAGAAAAAGGTCTATTGAAAGCTTAAAAAAAAAAAAAGGAATAACTCTTCATAACCTTGAGTTAGGCAATGTATTTTTAGACACAATACCAAAAGTACAAGTGACAAAAGAAAACATAAAGTGGACTTTGTAAGAATTTAAAGCTTTTTTTAAAAAATATTTTATTTATTTATTTGACACAGAGAGAGACATCGAGAGAGGGAACATAAGCAGGGGGAGCGGGAGAGGGAGAAGCAGGCTTCCCACTGAGAAGGGAGCCCGACGTGGGGCTTGATCCCAGGACCCTGGGATCATGACCTGAGCCGAAGGCAGACGCTTAACGACTGAGCCACCCAGGCGTCCCAGAATTTAAAGCTTTTGTGCTTCAAAGGACACAATCAAGATAGTGAAAAGACAACCCACAGGATGAGAGAAAATACTTGCAAATCATATTTCTGATAAGGGATTTCTATCCAGAATATATAAAGAACTCTTACAACTCAACAATAAAAAGACTTATAACTCAATTAAAAAATGGGCAAAGGATTTGAATAGATATTTCTCCAAAGAAGACATAAAAATGGTCAATAAACACATTAAAAGAATCCCAACATCATTTGTTATTAGGGAAGTGCAAGCCAAAGCTAAAATGAGATACCACTCCACTGTACTAGAATGGCTAAAATCTAAAAGACAGACAATAACAAGTGTTGATGATGTAGAGAAATCAGAACCCTCATACATCACTGGGAGGATTGTAAAATGGTGTAATCACTTTGGAAAACAGTCTGGAAGTTCCTTAAAATGTTAAATATAGAGTTACCATATGAC